GGGAGTGGTCATCTAACCCATCCATCCATCCATCCATCCATCCATCCATCCATCCATTCATCCATCCATCCATCCTTCCATCCATCCTTCCATCCATCCTTCCATCCATCCATCCATCCATCCATCCATCAATCCATCAATCCATCCATCCATTCGTCCATCCATCCATCCATCCATCCATCCATCCATCAATCCATCAATCCATCCATTCATTCGTCCATCCATCCATCCATCCTTCCATCCATCTATTCGTCTATCTATCCATTCATCCATTCGTCCATCATTCACACATTCATTAATATAAATCTAATCACAATTCGTTATTTTCCCGCCAGATTCAGGCTCCGTTACAGCACCACATGTAACAGTTACTATAGGGACTGGTCTGATGCCATAGACCCATCCGCACAGGGGGTCATCTCAGGATGGGACAAAGTGCTGTATTCAATGGACTCCGTACGCCGAACAGTCAACGAAGAAATTGGACAGGTCAGTTAGCTCTGCTGGACCTTATTTTCAATTGTTTACCCGACGATATAGGTGTTAAGGGGCTTAGCCGAGGCATCTAGAAGGTGGAGGGGGGAACAAACTGTTTCACACCATAATGGGCACCTAAACTGCTCTCATGTCTATATTCAAGGTGCGTGTTACTGAATTTATTTATATAAGAGTACTCTTCATATTTGCCTTTTTCTCCCCCCCCCCGAATAATAAGGTTTCTGAGTTCTGGAGTTTTAAAAGTCAGGTCACAAAGGTGAGGTCACTAGCACCCCGACCTCCCACCCCCCACAGGCTATGCCCCTAGGTCCTCTTAAACAGACGCAGAAAAGGGGGGACTGGGAGGGAAGTCGGGCGTTGGCGGAGGTGTTTCTATTTCCCCGAGGTGAATTTTCATAGTTTCTAGACGGAAACAGAAGCGTGTTTTCTTCGAAAAGAACGCTCTTAAGAATTCTTACTTTCGAAAAAACGTTACCATCGTTGTTTAGTACTTTTGCTGAGCTCATTCAGTACATTAGATAGAAATAAGACTTCGATTTTTTTTGCAGCGGAGTAAAAAAAAAAAAACATAACGACAGACCGAAATTAGATTTAAAAAAATCAATTCGATTATTTTTGGATGCCATAGCTGGAATGTTCCTTTCTTCTGTCGCGCCAGGTGTATTTGGAGAGTTTACCTGGGTCCAATACAGGTTACATCAAATGGCGCATCGACTTCGGCTGCTGTGGACTCCAGGTGGATGAGGTCACTTTGCGTTTGTCATGCCTAGAAGATTATGGAGGAGAGATTGTAGTTACACTGACAGGTCATCCGGGAGAGAAACGAGTTCGATATCCGATAGGTAAGCAATGAGCTACGCACGATAATGCTTTAGATTTAGTGTGCGAGGCTGCAAATGGAGACTTCGTCACGTGCCGGGACTTGCTCACGTGCTGTTGTTACGTGAGCGGTACATTGTCGTTGAGTAAGTGTGTGCGCGATCTACTTCTGGCGATCCTGTCCACTGTTCACTTTTTGAGTTCAATTAATTCAGAACATGATCATCAACAGCAAATCGCAGACGATCCTTCCCGATTGTTTCAGCAGGAGGAGCGGCTGTACACTGGCTAATTTCGACCAAACTCAGTTTCTTTTCTTGGTTTATATGAAATTTTACGATATTTTTTCTTTAATGTAGCTGTTTTTTGTTATTTTTGTTGCTCATGTTAGTAAATTATTTCAGGTAGTGATTACGTCACATTCACCGAGCTGCAGAATTCAACGGAGTTAACACTGACCATTCATTTCGTCGGAGAGGCCGGCCAGGTCATTCGGCTATTTCCACAGAGCATCCTGAGGGGAATGGGATACCCACTAGACTTAAAAGTTATTCTTAAGGTAAGTGTTGGCCGGATTTCTCACTGAAATCAATTAGTTAGGTCACTCAGCCGTTATGAGGGGCCAGGCTAGGTTTACTCTTTGTAAGCGATCCCAGAGGACCTTGTGCATATTTGGATGTAATACCGAATTCTCGGGACTAACTAACAAAGAAATGGCTCTTCAAATCTCATCGTTTCTTTCCTCTAGCAACCACTGGAGTCCTTGGGGAAACCCAGAATTCTTGTCGGACTGTTATACAGCAGCTCTCAAGAGATCGAAGTAGATTCGCGTCATTATAAGCAGAATACAACAAACACTGGTCAGGGATTTCTCCATGTTCATCTCCTCCGAGGAATGGATTTGCCGTCAGGAAAAAAAGACGTTCAAGAAACATTCTCCAAGTGGTAAGATATGGTTATGGACTCTTTCCACGACCCTGGGTAGCGTTTTAATCCACGTTGAATCGCTGCACGGGCAACAATTATTCGTCAAAATGCACACTCACCCATGAACTTGGCACATATCGGTAGAATGTAGACTCTTTTGCACATCTTCCTTTCTTGAAATAAGTGATAAATAATCTTCACCTTACTCGACAGTTTTGATTGACGCGAGATATAAAACTGAATTGCACCATTGAGGCTGGGATATACTCGCGCCATCAACTTAAACAGATAAAATCGGCCTTGCTGCTCAACTTGACGGAGGTATTGCAAAGGCGGAAGTACAGGTTTTTCTTCGAAGAAATTGGGGCTGTAATAAAAACCCCTCGAACGTTTTATCAGTTTTAGTGACCAAACTGACTGCCGATGAGGGGGAATCATTATAACACTACAGAGCATTAGGGGGATGAGGTAAATTTTATTGTCACCCAACCAAAGTCCTGCAACCCCCCCCCTTTTTTTTTTTGCAATACACAATGGCCAGTCCCAGAAGCATATCAACGCGTTGATATGCTCCTGCCGGCTCCTGCAGGTCCCTAATAATTTTCGCTTGTGTTGGTTTTAACAGTTACCTTCTGCGCGATGTCAAGAAATCAACCAAGTGCAGAACAAAAGCACGAAAAGGCAAAGATCCTCTTTGGAACGAACAGTTCCTAATCGTCGGCGTCAATTATCATGACGTAAAGCGAAGAGCGCTCGAGATATGCATCGCTGATAGTCATAAGTCAGTCGGTAAAAAGGCGAAGTTCATCGGGGGAGTTCGGCTCAGTCTCGGGTACAAGGCAGTCGTGGCTGCGCAAACCAAGCAAGTTAATCAGGTGCTACGGTTTCTAAAAGGAAGGGAAGCCATGAGTGGTGATGTGAACTCCAGCTTTGGTAAATGGAGGAGAGCGAGTGGAAGGAAGTCTGAGACGGATGACGCAGAAAAGGCAACAAAGGAGGAGAAAAATGAAGACACAGAAACGAAAGATACGCCAGCAAATAAAGACAAAGTGGATGAACAAAGTGCTGTCGATGGCATCGCAAACAGTAAAAATGACGGCGAGGAAACAAAGGAGGACATTGTCGAGAATGGACCGCAAAGTGCATCTTCTGCCAGTACAGAAATAATGGCACCCACGGACTCTGCCTTCGATCCGTCTCAGGATGAGGCCAAGGCCAAGGGTATCCGCAGCAACCGGTTGGCCGAGCAACGGCTTTTCGAAGCAGTGATGGCGTCTATCAAACATCTAGAGATCGCCGCGCGTCAGACTGCCGCGCAGTTGGAGTCCAGCGAAGAACGAGGCAAAGGATCTGCAGAAAAGCTCGAAAAATTGGGATCTACCGACATTTCTGCTCAGAGCATCTACATTGCCGCTAATGAAGGAACAACTGACTTGCAGCAGGGAGCAGACACAATTGATCCAGCCACTGATGCAGTAATAGCAACAGACGATATCATAGGAGACGAAAGAAATTCGTTGGATACAACAAAAAATACCAGAAGCAAGAATTTCCAAGAGAGGAACAGTTTGAACAAAGATGAAACTCAACAAGACGGCGACCAAGCCGACGACTTGCTTGGTGTGACTAAAGAAGTTAGGACGGCCACGAATCATTTAGCCAAGAAAGAAAATCTACCAACGAATGTATCCGAAAATTCCCGTACGGAGGCCGATCAAATATTGAATGGACACAACGGCGATGAAGATCAATGTGGTGATGTAAGCAGCATTACGAAGGGAAAAAGGTTTCCGAAAAAAGGGTTGAATACTAACGATATTAAAACGCACAACTCGGAAGAGATTCCTAAAGAAAAACCCAAAAATTGCTCTGAGCACTCTACTCAGGAAAAAACGGAAAATCTTAAAAGCGAAAACAGCCAACCAGAGGAGTTGACGATTTCGAAGAAAATGTCCGCGGGAGGATCCAACGAACTAAAGCGGAGCTCATCCTTCACTTTCAAAGATATCGGAAAGAAACTAAGCTTTCGGCGCAACAGCAAATCAGACGTCATCGGAGAAAGCAGATCAGAGACGGGCTTACAGACAAATGCCGACAAGATGATGTTAGATGCTCAAGGACTCGAAATAACCCAATGGACGCTTGTGGTATCACGGCCGAAGGAGTGGCATTACTGCTGGCACATCCTCAGATCTGAAATGACCATTCTCCACTGAGATGACAACCTTGAGAACCGATAAGGGGGCCTGAGTAATATTATTGGACCGGTCAACGATACCCTAACCGCTTAACAAAAACAACAAAAGGACAGGAGGGTCCAGATCCAGGCCCGCCTCGGTCAACGCTGGCTGAGGAGGTAAAGAATCTGGATCGAGCATTGATACCAGTGCAAGTATTAAAAGATACAGACTAAGGCCTTAATTTAGGGTTTTGTCAAAATAAGAGTTACGTTGAGTGTAGATACTGCCTAAGCAATTAACTTCGAGCTCGATACAGAGTAGGTTTAGCTCATACATTTTCTACAGGCAATCGACTGAACTACAAAAGCATCCATTATATTCACTTTAAACCGAGATATATGACCTAAACTTTTTGTCAATTAAGTATTTCAATCATTCCTATATATAATAATCACGTTGTTAATAATATTATTAACGAGAGTATATTAGTAATAATAATGATAATAGCAGTTGAAAATGATGAAAACTGAATAACCACGAGTAGGTTAGTTTTCATGTGTTTACCTTACTTCTTTATGTTAAATATATATATATATATAAAACTGCCGCAAAAATCTAGAGACGTAATATAAGACACGTATGCAAAACAAACCTGTGTATTTCACATTCTAATAACTTGGCAAGTAGTCGCAAATGTTTTACTGTTTATTATGAAATAATGTCTATGAATTTTTAACATTCGTTTTTAAACTAAAAAGTAGGAATAAACTAAAAAAAAAAAGAGTCATGTACAGTTCTATATATACTGGCGTATTGCCATATGTAACTTGTCCATTGAAAGAGGTTTCCAATAAGGTTAATCTAGAATTTTATATTTCCTTAGTATTCGCAAGCTTAACAGTCTCTTACTCAGCGTCGAAAAACCAGACCCAGAAGAGTTGAGAAAATATAACCTGGCTAAGTTAGGACCTCACGCGAACTTGGTTACTTGGATGGAAATCACATGTTCGTTTACCTTTTCTGGAAAAGCCACCGTTCTAAGGGGGAGTGGGAAGGGAAGGATTTAAAGAAGCGATGTAATCGAGATCCTGGGTAGAAAAGAGGGTCAGCAAATACGACAGAGTAGAGTCATGGAAAAATTGCTGTATAATTTGGGCCCCAGATGCCCTGCATCAATTCAATATGAAGTATTTATTGAGCAATAACCCTCGCTCAATTTGTGATGTTTCTCTAGTCCATACTCTTGAGATATTTGAACGTGAATCAAAAGTTAAAACTAGTTTGGATGTGACGCATCCGGGCTTCCAGACGAACTTTATTGGAAGGCTAAAAGACTGAGAAAAATTTGTTTCGTGCTCTGGTTTGTTTTTATTTTGGCTTTTCCTTTATTTCATGAGTTTTTTAGTTCGCCCAGACAGCAGTTCAAATGAAGAGATTTCTATTCAATTTATTTTCTCCGCGAAGTTCATCCGTAAGCCTCGTTCTCGCGTGATGGTCCCAGTTCCCCTGAATTTTGTCCAGGTATATGGAATATGGAAAATTTTGCGCATTAATGTATGAAAGATGGAGAATATGAAAAAGCCACATAATTGCAATGCGTGTGGTCGACTGCTGTTTGATTGGCTATAAAAACGTTTTGATTAAAAAATCTTTTACAGAAAAATTAATCTGAAGGCGCCGTAATGCTAGTCTCTCTGCATTTATTTTAAAAGTTTACGACCTTTTTCAAATACACACTGACGTTTTTATGATGGATTCACGGTATAAAACAAAAGCGCTCCTGATATTTTTTTTCGCGGTATGCTAAGGGTTTAAAACGAGATGTAGGCCAGAAATTAAAGAAAAAAAATTAATCATAATTCATTAGTAGTGATGAAGTTTCCTTTGACACTTAGCTTTCACACGGATATAACTAAAGCTACTTGAAAACAGCATTAGAATGCGAATCGCATTCATTGATTGTCAACAGCTACCTTTTTCCACATGTAAAGTGGTTGTATTTGCAAAAAATTTATTTCGCTGTTGAATCGATTACAACGGTTGACACGTATTTCAAATTTTCAATCCTTTCCGTCGACGGCGGCTTCTTTGTGGTGAAAACTAATCATGATTTCAGTGAGAATTTTTGCGGCATGTCATTAGTTTTCTTGTCATTGAATCACTTACGGGCTTGTTGCAGATGTTTCACTGGAGAATTATGAAATTCATTGTAAACTTTTGCATTCCAGTTGCTTTAAAAAGCGTTTGTGTTATAGAAAAATAATGGATTTTTACCCGGAAAAAACCGCGAGAGAAAATTATCTTTAAGCTAATAAGCTCAAAATAAGCCCCTTGAGCATCACTTTTTTTTCTCCTAAAGTCCTTCCTTTTATTGTAAAAATCAAACATTTTGTACCACGATTGCAGCAAGGTTTACTCATCTGCTAGCACATTCTTATAGTTACGTTTGATAATTTTTTTTTTAACTCCGAGTGCAATATTATTTTTACAGTTTTTTAAACTTGCATTTTAATTCATAAGTGCATCAATAACCGATTTCATCAATGTTTATATTCATTCTGGTCACGAGTATTTCGGAAGGAGTTCATTGCTGGCGCGTTTATTATGACAACGTCATTTGCAAACGTGAGGTCGACAAACGACGAAACTGAAAAACAAATCTCTCTTTCTACGCTGATGAGCCAGAGTTTCCGCCGTAGGAAGAGATAAACCTTAGCTACTCAAATGTGAATTCTTTGAACGAGAAATATTTTAAATGTTCTTCGCTGGGTTAAAAAAAATGTCCAAACAACAAAAAAATCTCGCAGCTGGTACATTGCATGGGAAAGAAGCGTTACTCGAATGGTGTAAGCGACAAACAGTGGGATATAAGAACGTTCGTGTGTCTAACATGACCACCTCATGGCGAGATGGATTGGCTTTTTGTGCTATAATACACCGCTACAAGCCGGACCTCATGTAAGAGCACACATTTACTCACTTTAAATTAACATAGAAAAGACTGATTCTCGACTTCCCTGAGTTTCTGCAGATTAAATCGCATGTTTTGAATGAGACAGGTCTTAACTCTCGGTTTCGGCTAGTTTTGTAGCATAAACGTTTTGCGCTTGAAACGAGCACTTGCTACACATTTGCAAGAAATCAAAATTTCGAAACAGTAAAGTATAATTTCCCGTTTAATCTTAGGTATCTAAAAATGTAGTTTAATTAAATACCAGTTCTAGATTGCAAAGGTTTCAAATCTCATAAATCTGCATGTAACGAAATCATCATAGGCTAAATTTTACAAGATATTTTTTGTAAAGTGCAAACTCGTTCTGTTTCTGACAATATTGGAAAATAGTGCTAGGCCGAAAATATATTTTTCTTAAGTACTGTTTATGTCTACAGTTGATCTAAGATACTGCAAAAACAATGATGATTGTTTGCGTCTGAACACTCATACTTCAGACGCAATCAAAACAAGACAAGTGATGAAAAATTTGTTTTATTAACATAACCTTGAGCGTCGGAGAATTTTGACCTGCCGATATAGAAAACAAACTGGAGATAGCCGAACGCGATCCGAACGCGTTCAGGTCTCGCCTTCAATTACAGATATCAGGAAGATTTGGGTTTCAGAATGTTTCAGAACATAGTATCGTCGGAAAAGCCGAAACTGAAAATTGAAAAAGGTCAAATCGAAAACTCGTGATAGCTAAAATGAGCTTTTTAGCTGAAGATTTCCGGAATTCTCACGATCAGCAGTACATATTTTACTTAACTCTTTAACTCCTCAAGCGATGAATGTGTAAATTCTCCTAACTATTTTAATACATAATAGCAGCGCTTCATCCTTTCTTGAATTATCCCATTCAGCAAACAGATTATGAGGACAAAGATACGGCACAACATTCTCCAAACCAGTTTATAAGGAAATCGATCAAAACTGGAAGGGAGATTTCTAAGTAGATCATAGGGGTCGGGAAAGCTGGGTTCGTGACCTTTGTCTTTTGGTGGAAGTATTCTATCAAAAGTCGTTTGGTTTCTCGCCAAGTTGCGATCGAATAATAACCTTCCCTGCCGACTTTCAGTCATCACCAACAAGCTGTTCCGTCAATCATTTTTTTTTTTTCAGAGATTTTCAGAATCTATCAAAGGATGACATGTTGAAAAATAACGAAATGGTAAGCTACATTTTTATTGTGTTTTAAACCATCTTCGGTAAAATATGAAACAATTTATTACTGATTGTGATGGAAACTGAAAACCTGTCAGCAAAACTGTTAGGAGTTTTGTCTATCAAAATTTGGTCAAAACAAAATAAATCAAAACGACACGAAGAGAAACAATTTGGCTCGATGTCAACTAAGGACCATGACACGGAATACGCAATGAGAATGATACCTTATCAATACAATGATGGGTCGGCCACACCCATCTGATGATAAAGGCAATACCTGGTGGCTAAATGAGTATTGCTTGTTTTCACTGTCGCACGTCCTGTCACACCATTATCAAAACCATATAACAAATTAACTCAAGAATCAGAGAGATAAAAGAGGATGATGATTCAAACAGTCTCGCAAAGATTCAGGTCTGTCGGGGAGATATTCGAAGAAATGTCTTACACAAATTCAAGTTGAAAGGCTTTGCATGGAGACGCCATGGAAGCTAACAAAAACATATGGCATCGAATTTTGCTATAAAAAGTCTGTAGCCATCTTATGAAAGCTTATAAACATCCATATGAGTACTTATTCTCATACAAGGACTATTCAGACTAGTAATCTAAGCGGATAAATCACTTTTTTTAACCTACGTGACTACATTCTCGGCTGCCATTTACGTGTCACGCAAAAGCTTAGAAATTCAACCTTGCTTTATCACAAGACAAAAAACTGAAATTTTGTTAAGAGATAAGTCTTCAGTTGTTCTTTTAACTATCTAAACTAAAATCGCAAAAGGATTGATTATTCCTTATCTTATAATTTTGATGACGTCACGTGAAAACCAAGAATTTTCTTGAAGCGTGGGAAGCGTTCTTTAGATTAGGCGAGGGAATGATGGGGTTGAAATTATGTCAGTTAAATGAGTGCGAGGCATGCCAAGAAGGAAAACCTTCTTCAGACGAAGAAAGTTTTGTTTTTACATCAGATAGAGATAGCTATACTGAAAAAAAAAAAAAAAAATTACTGCAAGAGATGGGTTATAAATTTTTTTTCCTGGGGGCTGCCACTATTGTAGATCAGTTAATAGTATTGCTTTTTTTCTTTTAAAAAAAAAGCGGCTTTAAAATTTATAAGTCTTCTCAACCTTGTTTGGAAATAGACCCTTGAAGAAAATTTTGTTTCGTTACCAGGCTTTTAAGGTAGCAGAGGAACACCTTGGTATCCCAGCTTTGTTGGACGCGAGAGATCTGGTTTCTATGGATGTTCCGGATGAACAAAGCATTATGACATATCTTTCTTCGCTGTTTTTTGGTCTGAACAACTTCAAACCTTCAGGTACAATAAGGTTGGCTTTCAGTGCTTTGTGTTTGGTACCCTATTGATACTTCATAGGATGTTCGTCAAAATCGAAGTTATTTTTCACAAAATTACATATAACGCCGTGTTTGTTTGTTTTCGTTACTTTGCAGACAACACAACGGAAACAAACAACAATACGATAGCAAAAGGTAAAAATGCACTTTTCTAACAACTAAGAAACCTCATGTTTTGTGTAACAGTTTAATAAGATCATTTAGAAAAGTTGGCAGACGTGGAGACTAGTGAAACGCTCAACCCTGGATATTGAATTCTAGGCTCGTGTACTGGTCGGGTCATTTCATTGCAAGTGAAGTCACTTCACTCAGGAATGATACAGCGGTCAAACGTCGGGCATGCGCAAGGGGATCAACTTTTGCCGGTCGCACGCCCAATTTCCCACGCTGTCTTTCAGAGGAAAACAGAAGAAACAGCTGCCATCACGCAGAAGTTCGAAAAAGAAGTTGAAACGTTCGCAAGGATAAGCAAGGAAAACTCGAGACTTTTCGAACCTAATCCTGTTGATTAACCATTTTGTTTTGAGTTTTAACAAAAAAAGTTATACGCTTAATTAAGAGACATAGTCATTCTAGTACACTCTGGCTTCTGGTTGTGAATAACTTCTGGAGCACAACTTGGTTCTGACTTCCTGAAAGCACGCTATCTTCCCATTACAACGTTCACATTTGCGCAGACGTTGTTATCATTTCATACACCGAATGCAAAAATGACGTCCAATTTGAGTTGCCATTGTTCTGGACTCACTAGCCTCTCACACATGTAATAATCCTTTCGTGTTTCCACGTGAAGACGAGGCTAGTGAGTCCAGAACAATGGCAATTCAAATATTGGACGCCATATTTGCATTCGGTGTATTGGGATATTAAACTGGTGCAACTGTGATCAAGATAGGTCGGTAATGAGAGAAGGGGGGGGGGAGTCTTAAAACTCCTGGCCCTTGTTAAGGGCAACTAGGCCCACAGGATTTACCTTAAAACAAAATCTGCCTCTGATTGATTTCAACAAAATTTTTTCTCAACAGGGAAACCCAAGCGATATCTATTTGATATTCTGGCCGACGAAGCGTACAAGCGACGGTTCAAACTCAGACAGCGCGAAATAGTCGAAGAACAATGTACAGATACCGAAGTGACTGCTTAAGAAACTATATAGTACGGATATTTTTTTAACGAAATTAATACACAAGCGATACAAGTCGTAACTTCGAGATTTCATTGACCCTGCGATTTTTCAAGATGACGGTTACATTACTGTCGAGTAAGATGGATTAATATCGAATCGATCAAAGATAAAATGCAACAGTGCCCATATGAGCAATTAAACCTTTGAGATTCTCTTCAACTACTTTGAAAATAAACTATAATCAAATTTTGCCACAATGAACAGTGCAATTTTCAAAACAAAACTCAAGGCTCCCCTTTTGAAGTGCAACTTGACATGTATCCGCTTTCTTCATTCCTCGAATAAGCACCCATGCTCCAAAATGTGCCCTTTCAGTCTTGAATAAGCACCCAGAACCAAGGCCAAAAAGTCAAATAGGCGTCCCCCCCCCGAATAAGGCCCCCCTTCCTTCTCCCACACTTTCCTACATTGGAAGGATACAAAGAAACCTTCTTCATTACCACTTGAGATGATTTAACATTTTAAGCTTCAACTACAGCGGAATCAATACAGGAAGATATTCTCTTTTCCATTCCAACTATTTCTATCATCAAGTGCTTAAAGAGTTCCTTTATATGTGTTATCTATCCTTTTCTTTTTTGTCCTATTGCTGAGCCAACTTTTAAATAAGTACCCCCATGGATTAAATGTCCTCATTCCAATAAGCGATCTCCCCTCCCCTCCCTCCCCCCCCCTCCCCTTCAGCCGAGATTTTAGGCAAGCGCTCGGGCGCCTATTTTAGGAAATACAGTCGGTAAAATCAAGGGAATTCGCTTGATTAAATTTCCAAATGTGTAAATATTTACGTCATTGAGAGAAAAATAAAAGCTCAAAGGTCTTCAAAAAGTCTCTATCATCAAAACTGGGGTTATTACCTTCAGACAGAACCTGGAAACGAGATCACGTGGTCTCCAGAGCCAGAAGTTTGCTGTTTAATAAAAGGTTTTTTCAAAAAGCAGATACTAATTGTCCCTGCTCCAAATGCCAATATCGTGTTCTCCCAATTCTCGACCTGAGTCAAAAACAACATTTTTCTTGTAAAATTAAGATTTGAGTCTTATTTAAAATTAAAAAGGAACAGAAAGATATTGACAGGACGGTTCGTACAGCGCTGATTTCGCCCGCCGTTTTAATTGCGACGGCAAAGTTTCTTTTAAAGGCGTTCAAATAAAATTTGCACATGGACGGGTATCTATGAACATTTTCAATGTTTTTACATTGCTCTGGTCACTAGGGGAACGATGACAATTTCGAAGATGACGTGTTTGTGGAAGATGACTTTCTAATGCTGTTTAAGCAGCTGCTGTACGAGCTGAAACAAAAAACTTCAATAATGGATGAGGAAGACTTGTTTTGATATGCAAATGGATCAGTTTTCTGCACCAGATAATTGTCAGACACTTGCAAACCCTCTAAATCAGCCAATGAAATTTTTCGAAGCTCAACCATCATTCGAGGTCGCTACCGAGCGATATGTTTCAATCAGTAGGGAAGATCCGGTTCCAACTGTGAAGTAAAACGAAAAATACATCGAGAGCTTTTTAGGACTGTTCAAAGGTTTAGACAGCGCTCGTCCAGTCGACGCTAAAAGCCTGTTAGCAAACCATGGCGAGTAACAGCTGCACAAGGTGTACATTCCGAGTGGTTGGACTTTTGGTTTATGTTTTCGCTGGAGGAGCCATATTTATGCAGATCGAGAAGAAAAAAGGCAGAAACTCTACGACTCAAACATTAGAGGACTTTTTGAGTCAGTGGAGTAAAATGTATAACCTGTCCCGAGAAAATATTTCTAATCTGCTAAAAGATTACGACGAAACTAAGGACAACGAAGCGAAGCCAACATGGACATTCTTAAATTCTGTTTTCTTTGTCTTACAGCTTGTCACTACAATAGGTAAGAGGGAAATTGTTGTGGATTTTACACCAAAATTCTATTCCTTTTCTGATTAGCTTAAATACTGTATGCAGGTACAGAAATGTTTTTAATTAGAATGAGTTATTTCATCGAGGTGCGACACAAATTAAAGCCATTATGGAAATTTTCTTTCGATGTAAAAGTTCCCGTCCAAAACGCAGATATTGAACTAGTGGAACAACACGTTCCTGATAGATAACCCTTAAGGCATCCTTTATGATCTGGATTTAACCTGTGTTACACTGAAACTTTGCACTACGCTATCACAAGACACGGAGAGCGTCGATACCACCGGTAATTCTAAAGAAAAAATAAAATGTCCCTATTTCTTGTCTGGCATTGAAGTCGTAGTTTTTTTTTTCATCGATAGGAATCTTTCCCTTTTCAAAATTGTCATACGTATTTGAATATATTCTAGGAACTTGGCAAATATAGGTTTATAATTGTTACCACTATCATTATAATCATTTTTATCAACATCATAATTAATGTCATTACCTTAATTATAAGCATATTCCACACAGGTTAATGGTGCTTTCGCAGGCGTTAATAGGCTTATTCGAAACTGAAGAAACTAATCCTTTATAGGACAGTTAAAAAAAAAAATACAGAATAATAGCTTGAATAAGCAATTCCCAATTACAACTGACTTCCTTTATACTTAATAATTTGAATATATCAACAAAGTTGAAATGGTAAACTTGCCACCGTTACGATTATAAAAGTTGACGTTTCGAGCGTTAGCCCTTCGTCGGAGCGAATAGAGGAATTGTGGGTTGTGTGTGCCTTTAAAGGCAGAAAAAGGAGCTACGTGATTGGTGGGAACATGGCAACGAGAAAAACACGAATAAATTAGTGGAATGAAAAGCGTTCGTTGATACCTGTGGGATTTAGACTGCCGGTTTGAAAGATGAGCTTTTGTTCAAGAGTTATCCGGCTTTCCGTGCTACCTAAGTGTAAGGAAAGACCGCAGATTGCCATGTGTTGCTTAGAATGGTTAGGTAAATTAAAATGTCTAGCGACTGGTTTCGATATACTTAGTTCTTATTAACCGACCTAGCTCGGTTAATATGTTTATTTTATAGCTGTGTCTCATATGCCAAATTTTTATGTTCTTTGTACCTTTTTTTTTCTAGACTGGTCTACATGCCGTTCTAGATGGGAAAATCTAGACCGCTTTCAATATTTATTTCAGCCAATCAAATTCGTGAATTCGGTAGTTCCCAGTCCTTGTGAGACACAGCCATATAATAAATGTTATTAATAAGTAAGAGGACTACATGCTTGTCCAATTTTGGAAGTAATTGGACTCAAACAAATTTCTCTGACAGCCTAATTTTGGCTGTCTTCAGAAAATTTTTCATCCAATCATTTCAAAATTGGACAGCATGTAGTCCTATTACATTTACTTATCATTGCTATCATTATCACGATTCACCACCTTTTCATGATATATGTAGAAAAGTCAAAAATTTAATCTTGTCATAGCACTGAGCTTCTCTCGCACGATATGCAAAACAGTGAGGTAGAGAGCGTCATCTATTTATTCATTCATTAAATATTGTATCCCTTTTTTTTTACTTATTCATTTCTGTATTTACTTCATCTTTTTCCACTAGGATATGGAAACATAACGCCAAGGACTGAAAGCGGTCAAATTTTCACCGTGTTTTATGCGTTGGTAGGAATTCCTCTTTCAATTTTGGCACTGAAATCAATTGGAGAGCTTGTAAACAAAGCCCTAAAATCCCTGACTCGACCACTGCATCAAAAATTTCACAATAAAAACTGCCAAGAATGTGACTGCGATTTCGTGGAAACTGGAAATACCTGCATCAATTTTGTGTCTTGCATTATAACCTTGCTCACTACATGTGCATTGAGCTCGTATTTAAAACCAGAACAAAGTTTTATCACTACCTTTTATTCTATTTTTGTAACCTTAACTACTGTAGGATTTGGAGACTCTATTCCGTTTGAAGATCGCTTGTATGTTTTTATCATAACTGTTCTTCCCGGTTTGTGTTTCATGTCAAGTTTGATCGATTCGATTGTAGCATATTTGGATAAAACCAGAAAGGCTACCACGCATTGTTTTAGCTTCAGGAAGTGCCGTTTGCCTACAAACGATGCGAGGATAACGGCAGAAGTTGATTTGAAAAACATTCAGACACTGGAGAACAACATCGACTCTTGAAGGGGCACGTAGAGGGCTTTCAATGGCTGTCATACAAATAAAAGGAAAGTTGCCATGGTGATGACACACTCCTCTTCAAGTATAATGCTGTAAGACAGTGTTAGAGTTAAACGGCCATAACTGTCACGACTATTCCGTGTAATGTAATAACAATACTGGATCTAGAAATCCATTCAAGATTCTTAGGAAACCTGTAACAATGAACGTCTTTAAATACGCCTTCGCTGTTGGGTATAGCACAAAACTTCGACGCGTTATGCGTAATATTCCTTTAATTTTCGACCATCACAATCGATAGTATGAACATGTCACGAGAAATCGGTTACCAGACGGTGAAAAATTTTGTGCGAACCAAACGATAAAAGTAAGAGTTTACAGTCGCAAGAGCTCGTCGATAAGAACACGCGTGAGAAGCTACAGTCCAAAAAACATGTGACCAAACTGTTCTTCGTGTATATGTACCGAAACGTAACGCAACAAGAAAAACAAGAACAAAGGAAAAACGTCACGGACTAAGTTTAACTAAACATTCGCATCATCAAGGAATGGAAAGTTGCTAAATCATCTTTTTGGAAACGAAACCAGTATCATCAAAACAGATTCAAACAAAATTTAAAAAAGTAGACGAACACTGGTTGATCCTTCAATCTACGGTCCTATTTGTCTTACTTCATTGCAAAGCCGTTTTGGTACGTGTTGTATACATAGATTTTGAAGTGTAAGAATGTACATAAATTTCAAAAGTAAAATTAGTTAGTTAGGAGAACCCTTTTATTTACCCTCAGGGCTCTCCCCTTCAAATACTGTACAATTTTTAAACATATTTGTTACGGAATAAAGTATCATTCAACTAACGCAAGTAATAAAAAAACCAACCAATCATAGTTCGAGTTAAAATTGTGGTCCACGGCAAAGTCGGAGAAATAGAAGGGAATCAAAATGAAAATAGAAGAAGAATAAGAATGGTTTATTTAATACCTTAATAGCAGCAAGGGCTGAATTGCTAAGGTTTACAATGTATAGAAGGAGAGATTTTCTAAATATAATTACAATTTTACTTACATGCTTACAATAAGAATCCTACGGCCGTACTACAACTACAATAAGAATTCTACGACTATGACTACAAATATAAAATCTTAGAAATTAGTGCAGTTGAATTGCTAAAAAGGAGCTGCACATTTGTTAATAAAAGTGTCACGACACCTATTGGTCTTACATGGCTTTACACGGTATGGATATATCAACAAAGTTGAAATGGTAAATTGGCCACCGTAATGATTACAAAAGCTGACGTTTCGAGCGTTAGCCCTT